CGAACCTCATTTAACTACGAAGAGAAGGTAAAAAAAATGCATTGGTATAGACATGTAATAAGATCTAACGCCCTCTTTAAAAAAAAAAAACACATTACTGCAGGGCTCAGTAGAGGGGGGGGGGGGGGGAGAGAGAGAGAAGAAGCAGACAAAGAAAGACCTGGTTACAGAACCTGACTGACTGGAGGGCCTCAGGCATACAACCATGAAGTCCATCGCAACTGACTGCCAAAGGTTGAGATTGATTTGATTTGATTTGATTTAAGAACCGACATCACAGAATTCGCGGCATTCCCATAAGCGCTCCCAGCAGCCAGCGAAGAGTTCCGATACTAGTGGTGCCAGTAGCATTTTGATTACAGGTCTGTCTTGTCTTTCCTCTGAGCCTCGAGGATCTGCCAGGACCTCTCGTCACCCCCCAACTGCATCAATCTCAAGGTTGAGAAAGCTGATCAGATATTCAACAGAAACTGGTGATCCAACGGCCCGCATTGTTACGGGATGGTGATGATGACGGAACCATCGTAAATAAATCATTAGGTGGTGGTGGCAGTATATGTCAGAAGTGTCGAGAGTATTCTGGACAGAGACAAAAAATGCTGAGGTACTTACAGTTAAACACATAGCCAAAACTAGCTTGAAGCAAGGCCTCAGCAAAGAAGACAAAGTTGAATGGCATCACTAAACGTTGTCCCTTTAGAAAAATTATTCTACACATGGCGGGAAAAAACGGTTTAAGAGAAGCCATGGAGATAGACAGAAGTGCATGCAAAAACTGCAATTGAAGAGCTTCTTCTTCATCTTCTTCTTCGCTTCCTCTTTTACCGCTGTGGGTGTCGAGGGAGATATAAGGTTCTGTTTCTAGCTCTTCTGGCTGCCTCGACCATAGGCACATCGCGCTGTTGTAGAGTTTCTCTGATGTTATCCTTTCATCTTGTTCTTGGTCTACCCCGTGCTCTACGTCCTTCTTCTCTGTCCATGTATGCTTTGTATGGTATGGTGTCACAAGGCATTCTCTCTAAGTGGGCAAACCATTTCACTTGCTCTCTTTGTATGTAATCCAGAATTGGTTTTGTGCCGACTTGTTCTCTTATGATCTCATTGCTGATCTTATCTCTTATGGAATTGAAGAGCAACAATTAAAAAAATGTGACATAAGAAAAATCACACCTAACAAATAAAAAAAGAAACAGACCCTTAGTCCGTTAGATCGTAGTCATTTTGAAACCAATCCAAATGAGTGACGTCTTTCATGTAATGGCCTAAGACTTTATGTTAGAAAGAAACTTCCTGTATGCCTTTCAGGCTGACTAGATGCGACAACCCTGATCAATTAAAATGCATCGACTTTAAAGAGGCTTTGAACCTAATAACACCGGATCGCCGTGCAAAAGTTCTAGTCACTGTAGTACCGAGGATCCTATATAAAATAGCAGACCAGTTTCATTAAGGTATTAGACGGCAGATAGAAATTAAACAACATGACCATAGACTGGTTGTAAACACCCCAGACAAACGTTTATAGAAAAACTATCATGTCTCTAGGGCTAAACAGTGATTCATGACTGTGATTATTTATAAGTATGTGTGTGTGATATAGTAAAAAGCCCTTTTCGTGTCATGTTGTAAATATGTTTTGACAGAAATGATAGTAAATGCAGTATGGTACTAGAAAAAATATTTTTGTATAAACCCTATCGGCGATGAGGTCAACGTCACACGGGCCACCTTTTTTCCAGGTAAATTCCTGATATACATTTCAGTGCGGATGAGCCTGGAAGCCGGCTTGGCTTGCTTAGCGGGAAAAATATCGTCACGTTCAACCAGAATCCCCAGAGGAGGAGCTTTAGGTTATAATTGTGGCTAGGTTATTTGGATATGGCTTAGGATTTGCCCCCGAAAAGGCCTAAAAAGGACTCTTGCAGTGTCAATGCCATCAAAGGAGACAGACCTAAATACCGTCCCGGACGGCGTCGAAGTCGTTTACCGGCCAGCCAATGGGTGACCTTGTCGCCGATGGATGAGGTCCCGTGCGCATTCGAACACCTGAGCTTGAGACTGACAGAGGAGTAAGTATGATAAACGTGTTGATAGAATGTCACATTCTTGCACTGACAAACTTTTCATTTGAGCATGAGCAGACTTGGCAGCGAGACAAATGTACCACGTGCACGTGCAGGGACGGTGCTGTACGGTGCGCCCCCAAATGGTGCCCACACACAAGTATCTGCCCAGATGTAAGTGTTGACACCTACAGTTGTGTAATTTAGTCTCGTGTGTGTGATAGCAATATTCAGTAATTATAAATAACTAATCCAGCATACTGCAGAGATTGCCACACATGCACGTACATTACCTCCTACTTCCACATACATACACATACACACACGGACTCTTAAATTTTTCTATCTCTATATCCTTCCTCTTCATGTCACTGTTGACACATAAGGCATTCACAAGTGATCTTCATTACTGCCAGTCAGATTGCTGCTTTTCTGCCCACGGTACCTCATGTCAGTTTACATTCCTTCGTTCTATTGTCCTTCTCCAGATTTCCTTAGGTCGTCCACGTCTCCTTTTCTCATCTACTGTTTATGCCAGAGTGTCACAAGGCAATCTGCAAACATGTCCAAGCCATCTCCATCGTCTTACTTTGATAACTTTTGCCAGTGATGCATATTCTGTTTTCCTCCTCAGTTCTTCATTTGTGATCTTTCTGGCCGAAATATTCATAAAATTGTCCTTGAACATTTATTTTGAAAAGTGTCAAGTTTACGTGTAATTCCCGCTGTCATTTTCCAACATTCAGAGTTGTATAATAATAGTATTCCTAAAATGTTGCTCTTGTATATTGTCTTCAAACTAAATCCCTTTGACTTCCATAAATTGTTAAGCATGGCAAATGCTTGATTTGCTTTGTTTATTTTTGATGTTACATCCTTTTCAGAATCTCCATTTGGGGTAATTTACTTGCGAGTTATTTAAATTCTTCAACTTCCTCTTTTGCTTCATCAATAACAAAATGGAACCGAAGGAAACCATATTCAAACAAACCAGTCTCAATAAAGATCGCAAATATAGGCATCTGCTACATAGCTGAAAATGTCTGAACGTGATCAAATTATTCTTTTCTTTTACAAGAAGCCAGCCTATTGCTTCATCATTTAAGATTATTGGATTTTCTGTTTTGTAATTATTTCTCATTACTTTAGTTTTACTGGTGTTTACTTTGAGTCCTATCTCAAGGGCTGTTGTTGAAAGTCTTTCAATCTTTTCCTGAATGTCCACATGACGGTTTGATATAAGGCTGATATCATCTGCTTAGTCCAAATCCTCTAAAACCACCTAATGATTCTTGTCCCATCTCGTGTAACTTCCTACATCAGCCAGTCAATGGCCAAATTGACTAAAAAGGGGAATAGTATGCATCCTTGTCTATCCTGTGTTGGCAAAGAAACTTTATTTTGTATAATTACACATCTTTCTGAAAACCTTCTCCAATCATTTTTTCAAACATCACGAACACTCGAATACTCTAAAGAATACTTTCTGTTTTCTTCTGTCCATTTTCTGCTTTGTGTCGCTAGGAGTCGCTGGTTAAGTGAGTATCTGTTTCCGAGCTAGGACACGCTCGGTTGCCCGGTATGCTGTGATTCTGTGAAATCACAAGATATCTGTGACTCATTCATTCCATGTTCTTCTTTATCGTCCCCTACTTCTTGGTGTTTCTACTTTCATTGTGTACGCTCTCGTTGCTAACATCACTGTAGTCATTCTGATGACAAAAAGCTAAACCATCTTTGTTTTCACATGAATTTAATTACAGGCGTTGTTCCAAAAGTTATTGAACTTCCTGGTTTCTCACATAATCTCTTTATGTTTTCTTCACAGCCTTTCTCAGACATCTCATTTGGCAGGCGTTTAGTTTTATTACATGTTTTTTTAGTCAATGTTCAGGTTGTGCCATGTGATCTTAAAAAGTATATATATATATATATATATATATATATATATATATATATATATATATATATATATTAGGTGTGTGCGTGTGTGTGAGTTTATCAGTATATGAAAGAACAATACAGTGGAACCTCGCTTAATGAGCATAATTCGTTCCAGAATCATACTCGTTAAGCGAAACACTCGTCATGCGAAACAATTTCTCTCATATAAATCAATGTAAAATATGATAATGCCTTCCATGTCGAAAAAAATTCTCACAAAATGCTATGTATTTCTCACAAAATGCTCCGTATAACGTTTATTCAAAGAAAATTATACGCATTTTGTTAAGGATAGTAAATCATCCTCATCTTTTCTTCAAACGTGGAACAAACCCACATGGAATGCGAATTCGATTTGTAGAAAACAAAACAAAAAGTCCAAATAATTATGATACATAGCTATTTTTTTTCCCAAAATTTGGCGAAAATTCGACACAGCATTATTATTAAATAACGACTTCCTTATTAGGGTGATGCTTCTCAATGTAAGATGCAACAGTTTCCCATGATTTCAGCATTTCTCTTATTACGCCAGAAGATTGTTGCTTTTCTGTTACCTCCTCCTCCTTTGTCTGACAAGCTTTCCTCCAAAACTTCTTGTTGTGAAACACAATGCAACTCCATAAGCTCTCCGCGCAGCTCTTTGCTGTGCTCTTCCACAAGCTTTTCGATATCACTATTACCCACTTACAATCCTATGATAGTGGCCAAAGACACAATCTCGTTGACTTCAGGCTCCACATTTGCTGTCTCGAATCCCTTAAAGTCACGAATCGACAACGTTCTCCGGTCACAGCTTCTTCCAAGCAGAAGTTAGGGCTTTCTTGGTAACCCCTTTCCCCGCCTTGTCGGTCATCTTGAGGCAGGCAACGATGTGGAAGTGATTTTTCAAAAACTCTTTGAGAGTGAGGTTGGTCCCTTCAGTCATCTGAAAACAATGCTCGAAGAGTGCTTTAATGTAGAGCTTCTTAAAGTTAGCAAAAGCTTACTGGTCCATGGGCTGGAGAAACGAAGTGGTGTTGGGAGGCAGAAACTGGATCTTGATGAACTTAAATTCTTCAGGGAGGTCATCATGTAGGCCTGGAGGATTCATGTGCATATAACACAATATAACACGAGTTCGAGAAAATGTGTGATCACAAGCGACACTACGATGCTACTGGAACGAGTGCTAAACACAGACTGATGCGCACAATCCGGGACTTCCCCTCTCCTCGCCCCTCTTTATGCGAAACTTCGCTCGTTAAGCAAGTCATTCTTTTAAAATTTGCTTTGCTCGTTAAGCGAATTACTCGTTATGAGAGGTGCTCGTTAAGCGAGGTTCTACTATACTTCACACTCTAATAGCAGTGTATTCTTGGTCGACACGAAATGTTTACAAAATGTGGACTGTTTTACTGCAGCGTGTTTACCCAGTTCGCTTTGTGAGTTAGTCTCTTTCAATACATCTTTGTTACACGTTTTATCAGCCCATGGTAAAGGTAGATATACAGACAGTGAGACATATGAACAAATAGACACACATACAAATACTCATATAGCCGGACATAACATTCAATATGATGGTGAGATTATTAGAGGAGCGGCTGGTCGAGTGGTTACGATAGCAGGACTCTCATGCGAAAGACCTGTGTTAGACCCACGGTAAGATGGTGCAGTTTTTCTGTCGGGGGGCAGAATTTAACATACTAACCTGCACAGTCCGTGGCGACAGCACCAGCCGTGCGGCCCTAAATCCTCCGACTCAAGACCCCTATCTACACCGCCTTAAAAGGTAGTACAAGCAGACAGTAGTTACAGTATCAATATGAATTTCTATATTATAAAATGAATGAGAAAAAACACTGGATGGACATTTAACTTTATCACAGGATTACAGGCTACGCTATAGAGAACACCACTGCTGTCCTGTGTGTACGAGAAGTAAGTTCACAGATCACTGTTGTCCTGTGTGTACGAGAAGTAAGTTCACAGATCACTGTTGTCCTGTGTGTACGAGAAGTAGGTTCACAGATCACTGTTGTCTTGTGTGTACAAGTAAGTTCACATATCACTATTGTCCTGTGTGTACAGTTCGTGTATTAGTATTGTCTAATATGTTCAAGTAAGTTCTTATATCACTGTTGTCTTGTGTGTACAAGTAAGTTCAGGTATCAATGTTGTCTTGTGTGTACAAGTTCGTGTATTAGTATTGTCTTATATGTTTAAGTAAGTTCTTATATCACTGTTGTCTTGTATGTGGAGTCATATCAGTGTTGTCTTGTATGTACATGTACATGTATCAATATTATTCTTGTGTGTACAAGTTCGTGTATTAGTATTGTCTTATATGTTCAAGTAAGTTCTTATATCACTGTTGTCTTGTATGTGAGGTCATATCAGTGTTGTCTTGTATGTACAAGTACATGTATCAATATGATTCATGTGTGTACAAGTTCGTGTATCAGTGTTATCCTGTGTGTACAAGTTCGTGTATCAGTGTTGTCCTGTGTGTACAAGTTTGTATATTAGTGTTGTCCTGTATGTACAAGTTCGTATATCGGTGTTGTCCTGTGTGTGCAAGTTCGTGTATCTTTGTTGTCTTGTGCGTACAAGTTCGTGTATCAATGTTGTCTTATGTGTTCGAATTAGTTCATATGTCACTGTTGTCTTGTGTGTGAATTTAATATCAGTGTTGTCTTGTGTGTACAAGTTCGTACATCAGTGTTTTGTTGTGTGTATAAATTCTTATTCAGTGTTCTCTTGTTTTTACACGTTAGTGTATCAGTGTTGTCTTGTGTGTACAAGTTCTTGTATGTGTGTTGTCCTGTGTGTACAGGTTCTTGTATCAGTCTTGTCTTGTGTGTACAACTCTGTGTATCAGTGTTTTCTTGTATGTAAAAGTTTCTTTATCAGTGTTGTCTTCTGTGTACATGTTCGTGTATCAGTGTTTTCTTGTGTGTAAAAGTTTATATATTAGTGTTGTCTTGTGTGTAGACGTTCCTGTATCAGTGTTGCCTTGTGTGTACAAAAATTAGGTGCGAGTATCCGTGTTGTCTTGTACGTAAAAGAAGTGTATATGTCACTGTTGTCCAGCGTGTACAAGAAGTAAGTTCATAAATCATGGTTGTTATATGTGTATGAGACTTGTATTCGCCAGTCAGTACTTATAAGTGTTACCGCTTCACTGATCCTCACCCCCCCCCCCCCCCCCTTTTTCCAATGGATAAAATAGCGTTCACTTCTTTTGTGTGTGTCAAATTGTTGGCAGCCATCTTTAAACGACAATTATGACCTCACTGTATTCTTTTGCACTGTGATATCACCCGCTTAACAACAATATCGACTGATTAAAAGACAACGGCGTAGTTTTTGTAAATGCTATCACACCTTTGAGGCTTTCGTCTAGAGCCTCCCATTTATGTGTGTATGTGTGTGTGTGTATGTGTGTGTGTGTTAGGAACAATTATTTTACTTACCATTTAAGGTGTCAAAACAATTAAGTGATCATAGAGTAACGTTTTGTTTTTTAATGACTTTCAAATGAAATCATGCATTTTGTGTGCACACACACACACACACACACACACACACACACACACACAACTGATTTCACCATAATAACCTTACCTTGGATGTCTTCCCTTTCTTTTGATAAACTGTCAGGCTGAATTTGAGCACAAACAGGTTTCGCGGGTGACAATGCAAATTGCAAAAAAAAAAAAAAACACTGGGGAAAAAAACAATTAGTCTGATAATTGTTTTCTCAAAAACATTATGTGTTAATATTGTAACAATATTTCCAAAAGATAACCTGTATGTTACTTACAGTTTCCAACTTTAAAAAACTGCCGGGCCAGGTCAAGGGGCGAAGTTTTTTAATTTTATTTGTTAACCCTACCCCGGCTGTGTTGGGGAGGGGAGGAGAGGGGAAGGGGGGCATAATATAACCTAAAGGCGAAACAGAGATTCTGGAACTTGTGCCCGAGGACTCTCATCTCTTTGGTGTATCACTTTGTTTCTCCTGGTTGTGTGGTCCTGGTGGGGTTGAACGTCACTCACTGTCAGAGAGTGCTGGCTGGTCTAGCCGTCACTGGTGCCTTGATTATAACTTCTTTGGGGGTTGAAAGGGATACCTGGGATCTGCCTTGTTAGTGTGTCATCCAGACTGAGATTCTCCAATCACAGAATGATACGGTAAATCTGAGGTAGCAGCCCGGACAGGAGGAGAAGACAAACCGATCCATCGATCGCAGTGACCAAATGTGGTAATTTTATTTATTGTTTTTTTTTTTTTTTTTACCAACGAACGGACAAACTCGAAGACTAGCATATTTTGACGTCCTTACCTGCAGGTGACTGGGCTCAACAAAGTTCAACAGCCGTCGGAAAATTCCGCCAATTGATTTCTCTGGCTTCAAGGCAAGTCTTCTGATCCCTATTTACTGGACGCCTTATAAAACATAGTGTTCCATATCCACTAGACAAGGACCAATGCTTTTGCAGCAGGTGGAAGCAGAAAACAATATTTTGAAATGTAATGCTAGTTACCTCGCTAACGCTATCAACGGTTACATATTGTGTGTGCTGAGCTGAGGATAAATAAATGAACCTAGATTTACGTGTACTCGAATATTTGTTATATATTTTTTATGATGATGCCACTTCTCCCCAGATGACGGTATCTGCACACTTCATGGACAAAGATCGGATGTGATCGGCACGTTTGATGGGAAAACTTACAACATAGACGGCTTCTGTACTCACGACCTAATTAGAGACTGCGCTCATGGCCATTTGACGGTCAAGGTCAAATACAAAACAAAAAGTGGAGTTCAAAAACACATCGATATTGTCACTATACGATTCGGCTCCACCAGCATCAAGTTGTACAAAAGTTCAGAAATTCGAATAAACAGAACAAATCTGTTTTCGAATCACTTTAATTCAAACAATTTTTCTCTCAAGATTCAACCATCTCAGATTATTGTGAAAGTAAAGGCCGGAATACATGTCAACTGGAATTTAAACGATCGTTTAAGCATCAAGATCAGCGGAAGTTACTTCCAGACCGGAAGCTTGTGTGGTTTGTGCGGGGACTTCGACGGCGACGAGAGCAACGATCTTGTGAATAAGAAAGGTCATATGGTGGAAGATGCCAGCCTGATGGCTTTCACTTGGGTGCGAGGGAAGCTGTGCAAGCAGCACTTACCGGAGACTGATCGGGGTTCTTCCGTTGGAAAAAAACATTTCTCAATCCGCTATCCCTATCACAAAAGTAGACTCGCTGTCAAGTTTGGACATCAGAAGCAGATTGATTTGTTGGGCTTTTCACAAGCAGGACCCAGCAAAACCTCCCGACAATTTGAAGGAGGCAGACTTAACAACAACCTTAACAACACCAATGATACAAGTTTGAATTACACTTCATCCCTGAATGATTCATCCGCACTGGAAGACAGTAGTCCACCTGCCATATCCAACTTTTCAGAGGTCAACATGGACAACGGAGAAACACATTTTTCTGTGGATATTGAAAGCGATATTGAAAACAATATTACAGAACGAACGGTTGCGGCAGAGTACAACACGAGCGCTGAAGATAAAACAACACTTTATCCAACAGCATGTTACATTAATTCCTTAGAGTGGATGAAAGCACGCGATAAATGCCACAGGATCAGTAGCTTGCAGCTGAACAATTGTAGCAGTGGCTTCCACAATGCCGACTTTATAAGGTAAGTCATGATTGCATGTACTCTGTAATGCTACTCAGGATATAAAATCTGAGGTCTGTGACTAACTGGCAGTATTTAAATTTCTTTGAGCTGGGTACAAGGAGAAGACAACAACAACAAAACCATAAGAACTTGAAAACCGTTTATTTTTACACACACATTGTCCATTGTTATGTTTCAACGTAATTTTAAAGAACATTGATTCACTTGCCCCATCGTTTCATCAGTCCTCCCAAACCTGCTGCATAGAACAGCATGCCTAGTTTTTTAAACCAAATTTTCACTTCAAATTCAACTTCTGCGTCATTGGCGAAATGTCTCCCGTCAATGTGGGTTTTCGGCGGACCAGTGGTTTCCTTACGAGTTATGTGTTCTGGCATTGTCATGGAGAAGCAGTACTTCTCTAGTCAGCAGGATAAGACGGTTTTTTCGAACTGCATCATGAAACATCAGTAGAACTTTACAGTACGGATCAGTATTCACATTGTCACCTTTTTTTAACCGTTTAAAAGCACTCTTTGGCAATCCTTTTTTGTCCAAAAAAACAAAACGCACAACAGCACGTTATTCTTTGAGTGTACACTCCCTAAGTACAGTCGCCATTTTAATTCTATTTTGCGGGTGCTCATACAACACCTAGCGTCACCTAACAAACAAAGACATAATAGTGCAATGTTGCTGTCAACTAATAACACCTTAAGAACCCACCAGCTACATTTACCTGCCATCCCATAACCTTTTGTGACTTACTTCCCATCGTCTAATGTCTTTGAGACAAAATCATTTATATCTCTCCTGAGATATTTTCATCACTACTCTTTTACTGATATCACCCTTTGTAGGTCCCAGGCGCGTTTATCCGCCTTCAGCATTCATTTGCTTATTTGTGGGTTGGCGGTAGGGGGGTTTTCTGGGCAGGTTCTTTTAAAAATGTCACAGACTTCATTAAAAATACTGGACACAGTTTAAATATGGCATCAACCATTCTGACTATTACAAAGAAAAGATTTAACAGGATTAAAACATATCAGGGCAAACATAAAGAAAAGAAACACGCTAGCATTATTTGGACTCTACCGAAACATTAGATATCCCACGAAGCTTTTCAATGCGATATTCATAGACATTGTCGTTTCTGAGAAATTTTGTCCATGTGAACAGCCCCAATGGTTGGAGAGAACAGTAACGAAAGGTATGGCTCCTGGAAAAAAACAGGTGTTCGATCGGAACCTCCGTGGATACAGAATGTCAACGGCACCATGGTTTGGGGAATTTTGACAACAGCTCGAACGGCTTTCTGACGTGTAGTGATAAGAGCTAATGACTAAAAATATGACCTGCTACTCGATAATGATGATGATGATGATGATGTATGTGGTGAGGATGATTGTGATTGGAAACATTTGTCTCACCTGTAGAAACTTGCGAAATGAATTATTCGCCATTCTGCAACATCAATAATGCATCATTTTACATAACGAAAAAAAAAAAAAAATTTTTAATTTTAACTTTAGGTCTGTAAAGAAATATTGTTTTGAACACGAGTGAGGAAGAACAAAATAATACTGACATTCCACAAGATTAGAAAATGGATTCAGGACGGGTGTATAAAAAGTCCCCTATTTCAGAAACGAACATGTTGATGCAACAAACGTCACAGTTGTTTGGGAAGACCGGAAATGATCACGCGTGGAAGAACAACTTTGCGTCAACAAACATGGCACTGGGTTACAGACGTAAAGACATGCAGGTATGAACATGTAAAAGGGAAATCTGTTGGGAAAGAAACGAGTCGGTTAAACTAGTCCTTACGGGATGCAGCTGAAATAAACAGTCTGCGTTTTGTTTTTTTCGAATTAAGACATGCAGGTATGAACATTTGTTAAACACAGAAAGAAAATAAAAACAGAAATCTGTTGTGATTTTCCGTATCCCGACAGGTGCGATACTATTGAGTTTACATCAGTATTTAATTCATTCACACACGAACCTGAAGCGATACAGCAAAATAGGACAGGTTGTAGGTGTGTGATATTATTTGTCGAAGGAGTCATTATTGATATCCATTTATCAGGGACGTTGACACAGTCAACAAACGCTAGGTGAAGTCAGAAGTGTCGGCCGACGGGAGCGCAAATATTGAGGCATTGGCTGTAAACACCCACAACATAAATACGTCATAAGTACATCACTTGGACGAACAAAGAGGCGAAGAAGAATATACCAATTTTGCGAAAGGAGACAAGTATAAATGTGTAAAATCATAGAGGAATATCACTATTGTCTATAATAAGATACTATGATACCACTGTCGAAACCAATGCAAGGCGCATGGCCAGCAGCTGATACTATTCCGCAGCTGGGATCGAACCCGGCACTCAGGCATTATGAAGGGTTCGCATCGACTTAGCAGAGCAGAAAATGATCTATAGGCGGTTAAAAAAACATCGACTCTTTTAAAAGAAGCAGCTCGAAACTGGGACAAGTTCTCAATCAAGATAAGACAGAATGCATGGTAATAAGAAGGCATGGAAAGGATAACTCCGGCCACTGCAAATTGATAATATGAAAAATCTAACAAACGGAAACATAAAAGTACCCGATACGAACTTCGACTGATACTAAAAGAAACAAATTCAAAGTACCTGGTGCAAACTTCGACTGATACTAAGAGAAACAGATTCAATCTGGAAACAAAGTTAACCATGCCCTACAACATCTTCAAAAATCAAAGTCTTTGTCTCGTAACTGCCAACACTGCCAGTTACTGCCTTTTTCATATAACTTTTACGATGTAGACAGAGGGATCTTTGAGCCTGAGGATTTACGACCGCATGGCTAGTGCTGTCGCCACGGATTGTGCAAGTGAGAATTTTATTTTGCTTCCGACAGAAAAAAATGCCCAACTTTACCCATGATTTGAACCCGGGTCTCCAGTGTGAAGGCCCAGCGTTCTAACCGTTCTGCCAACAGCTCCTCTTGTATCATAACACCAAGATCAAAATACATAAAACGCTGCCAAGGCTAGTTCTTTTATATGGCTCTGAAATCTGGAGTGGAGATGAAGCCTAGTTCAACGAATTATCATTAAAACGAACCTGTTTTACCGGTGGTACCCAACGGGCGGAATAAATTTAAGCGCTCCATGATAACATTTGCACAAAAGAAAATATTAAAACCCCTTTTCAAAACCAATAACCATTTTTTTTCCCCTATTCTAATATAGATTTTTCGGCTCTCCTCCGAACTTCTACCCCATATTATGGCGCCTAAACAAATACCCTAACAGGGCCTCAGTCCCATGCAAAATACGGACTTCCTGTCGAGGAACAAATCGCTAGGATCGCCTTCGAATAACGAAACAAATGCTCTAACAGGGTCTCAGAGATATGTTAAGTACGGACCTGTTTCTGCGACTATGCTGCACCTCCGCTACGCGCGGCGCGGATGGGGTGCTAAAGTAGATGGCTGGGATTCTTGAACAGCAGCTACCGCAACTCCTGCAACTGCCTTTAATTTATTTACTGGTGAGTCCCAGGCATCTAGTTTAGATCCCCATCCGCGCCGCGCGTACCGGTGTAGGGGATACTGTCGGCGGTGAGTTTAATCACGTTTTGCGCATGCCGAAAACTGTGAGGACAACAACGACGCTAGTCAGCGTCGGAGCGCATGGTCTTTCCGCTGTGTCGCTATTATCGTCTGTAATGTTGCGTGTCTCGAAATTGTCAATGGTCGCTAGTATCGTCTGTTATTAACGTCTGCAGTGTTGCGTGTCTTCAAATTGTCAAGTAATCCTAGTTTTGCCGCGATGTGTTCGTCGCAGGAAGTCCGCATTTTACACACGACTGAGGCCCTGTTAGGGTATTTGTTTGGCCGCCATAATATGGGGTTGAAGCACGGAGGAGAGCTGATCTTTCTTTTAATATAACTATTAAAAATGTAGGTTTTCGTGGCAAACTCAAAAATAAGAGGGGACTTAGGATCACTGTCAGATCAGGATTTAAAAAAAGCATGTGAAAACAATGACAGTGAGAGCAGCAGTAGCAGCAATTTAACTAATGATGTCTTACTCAACCATTTTGGACTATTACTGAGATATTTAGTTTGTGTCTTTCTTGTATTGTATGTTGTGGGATCTAATAATTTAATGGACAGAGACACTGAAGAGCTACATACTGCCTCACAAACTGTTTCATGTACATTTACTGGTACCGACAATTGGAGCCTGAGTGTATTGTATTATTAATACTTTTGTGACTTTATATCTACTCACTAGGTCATGTACAGATGTGATCTGTGCCTGTCTGAAAGATCAGTCGTGCAAGGAGATCGCTGTGAACTCTTTGCTTCATCCTTGTCAAGTTAACCATAATGTCACCGTGATTCCATCGCCATAAATCAGACGGATAGACAGCCACTCTTGCCTGTAAGGACATACCCCAAGGCCTGGTGGTCCGGGTAATGCAGCCGACATTACGGAAGACGTGCAAGGGTGAATCCGTTTTACTGGCTTATTTGTTTGCAGTTCTCGTTCCCCCGCCTCTCCGGCAGATGTACTCCGACTTCGGAGGAAGGTTTATACTGTCAAGCGTTATCTTTGTGCACCACCTACGAGCGTACCAAGTGCCCCTTTATTTCCATCTTGTATGTGTTGCGAGTATAGTGTTTTTAGGTGTGTTGCTGTAAAAACAAAATGCAACACTTAAAGATGTAAGAAGGGCAGAAAAGCAAGTGTTCTAGTGTTGTCGGCTTGATTTCTTTGAGTGGAGAGTCCTCTTCGTTAATTGTTTGAAGTAACGGGAGTTCGTCATCATTTATGGGTGTCGTAACTGTTCTTTCGTCGTCTGGTGGAAACGGCAGCGGCTGTATGTTTTGATCGACGTTCGGTTTCTTCGTTGTCTTTTTTGTTTGATCTTCTGGCCTTGGCCGCTCGGCGTCTGGATTTTTCGTCTGCAATGATTTTTTCGTTATTTGATCTTCAGGTGTTGGCTGCTCGGCGTTGTC